ACAAGAGTGTCCTATAAGAGTGTCCCACAAGAGTGTCCTACAAGAGTGTCCCACAAGAGTGTCCCACAGAGTGTCCCACAAGAGTATCCTACAAGAGTGTCCCACAAGAGTTTCCTACAAGAGTGTCCCACAAGAGTTTCCTACAAGAGTGTCCCACAAGAGTGTCCTACAAGAGTGTCCCACAAGAGTGTCCCACAAGAGTGTCCTGCAAGTGACCCACAAGAGTGTCCTACAAGAGTGTCTCACAAGAGTGTCCTACAAGAGTGTCTCACAGTGTCCCACAAGAGTGTCCTACAAGAGTGTCTCACAAGAGTGCCGTACAAGAGTGTCTCACAAGAGTGTCCCACAAGAGTGTCCCATAAGAGTGTCCTATAAGACTGTCCCACAAGAGTGTCCTACAAGAGTGTCCCACAAGAGTGTCCCACAAGAGTGTGCTATAAGAGTGTCCTACAAGAGTGTCCTATAAGAGCGTCCCACAAGAGTGTCCTACAAGAGTGCCCCACAAGAGTTTCCTACAAGAGTGACCCACAAGAGTGTCCCACAAGAGTGTCCTACAAGAGTATCATTTGGACATATGTAGTTTTTCGATCGTGCTTCCATTCGGGTTCGTGGGTTCGACCTTGTTTTTTCCCAGCCGCATTCCTAAACATGTACTGTAACTCAACATTTTTCTCTTGCGGACGACCGGGAAAATGTAGATTACATGTTCGCACGTCACCTCTGCACTAGGGGTGGGATATAACTATATATATATAGATAATAGATATAGATACATACAGTGTGTACATTGTACATTATATATATATGATTCTTTTATGATATATGATCATATTTACCATGCATCATTTCCCAGCCATGCGTTGCTTTATCCTTGCTCACTCATGGGCACAGGTGGCTGGTGCAATCCAAGATTATGATGTTGGAATTTCGATCATGGAAGATGATTTTCGCCAGCACCCGGAAAGGATGATGTATAGTGAGTATCCTGACGCGCTGGTGAAGCGTGGCCTGGCAAAGGTGACGCAGTGCCAAACCTCGGTGGTCTAAGTTTGGAAATGAAGGACGTGACACGGTTTGGGACGTGTCTCCTGTGCTCCACTCTGCCCTGTGAAGGAAGGATTGCAGAACTGGAGTGGTGCCGTGCAGGACTACACCACAGCAATTGATGCACTTCGACCGAAAGATGGCCGAGATGATATCGCTCTGACTGGAAATGCAAGGATGCAAGACACCTGGCGGCTGTTTTGCTCAGGGGTTAGGCAAATTGTTAACTGGTTGTCTATGCCGTTCGCTGTCCAGGTTCTGAGGTGTTCAGAGGTTGGTGGTGTGTGGCGTTTGGGCCAAACGATTCGATGATGTTGGTTGCAGTTCTATGGTGAACTGAATTGGTGTTGACATTCTTTATTATTTTGGCTCGTTATTTATGTATATAGTATGTGTACACATATATATATAGTTATTTATGCATTTTTTAAAACAGACTGCATATCTATAGTTTGTTCCAATTGTGTGCAATACGTATTTTGGGCTCAGCCTTCCAGGAAGGTGATGGCTTGGGCATGAACCCACTGATTTTGAACTTTCGTGGCAACGCCTTGGGCCAACTTGGACGTTACGATGAAGCTGTTGAAGACTACCAGGAGGCCATCCAGATCTTTGATGCAGATGGAGAGGCAAGTTGCATTTCCGTTGTCATGAGGCTAGTTTCCGGCTCACGTACATAGAGCTGACCAACTGGACAACTCCAGAACAAAACCCAAAATCCTCTTGTGATGCCCCATGATTCATACCCAAAGGAGGCCTGCCTCGCGTTGCATCTTCGTGTGGGGCAGAATGATGTTTGCGGGCTTGGAGACAGATGCTGTTGATTTTGCCTACGTCGTCCCGTTGGCATTGTTTGCCAGGTGCGTCAGGCGTCTTTGTCCCGCGCAAATATGGGTCTAGCGCTCTTCGGTGCTGGCAGGGAACCTGAAGCTCAGCTAACTATGGAAAAGGCCAGGACAGGGAAAGATCTATTTGTGTAAGATTGTATAAGCATTTTCCTGCACTGCTCTTTGATCTCCAGGTTGTTCGCAATGATCCTGGTGTGACCGATGCTCATGTCGCGTTGGCTGCTTGGTATTGGGTGTGCGAGCGAGCAGCCGAAGCTGAGTCTCAATGGCAGTTTGCCTGTGAGAAGATTGACACGGGTTGCCAGGCCTACAAGGAGACGGTGGCTAATTAAGTCTCCGCCGGAGAGCTCCTGCAGCACCCACAACAATGGTCTTCATTTCTAATGGGCGTTACGATTTGATATCAGAATCTGCATATGTCTGGGCCACGAAAGGCTTACTGTATCAGGTAACCCTCCGGCTGCTTGAGCTCTCCAAGCTTTGGCTTAGAGTGTTCCCTGGAGGGTTTGTTTCGGTGCCTGATCTTGCGTTCTCTGAGCGGGGTGCCCCGTTCAATGCCCCCTGGTCCTGTGTTTTTGGGAGGTGATCCAGCCTCCTCCTCGTAATTTTGTTCGTTCTCATGACTCATGCTCATGATGCTCATGCTTTTGCTTATCCTCCTCCTCCAGCCAGCCAATAGTGAGCCTCTTTGCTGCAACGAATGTGGCTTGAGTCCTTGACCAGTGGGCATGTGCCTTTTTGTGTCCCAGACTACTGCTGGCACTGGTGCATTGTGAGCTGTGAGCTTGAGCTTTTGCTTCCAGCCTCGAGGTATCCTGGTCCCAACTCCAGGCATGTCAGTCCACAATTTTGTAGCCCCTACCGTATTAATTGGCCGCAAACACGGAGCACAAGATAAAGCGGCAATTCTTATGAGAGGAGGGTGTCTGACTCAATCCCGACTGGACTTTAGGTGGCTCTATAGAACGCCTGCCAATCCTTGGCTGAAAGAAAACTGCAACTGACCTAGATTCAGGCTCCAGTCTCCTAATATATAGTATATAGTGGACTAGCGTAAACGCGCACACACAGCTCCCCCTCCCTCTCTACACAAAGAAGATGCAGCTCAATAAGTTTGTGCAACTTTTGCTCAGAAGGATCCATGTAGACATCAGGGAACCGGGAAAGTGTCAAACGGAGTGACACGACATCACGCAAGACGCAGATGAACAATCCCCTCAGAAAACAACATGCAACGATACCACACATAGTGAGACAACTGGCAGGCAGTTATTTTACCCTGGATCTTGGTTGTGTGGTCAAGTCTCTTTGACTTGCTGTCGGGTTTTTACATGGACATGGTTCTGATAAAGAGTACGTAAGCAGCATTGTCAGCGCATTGCTGGACCTGCGGCAGGACATGAAATGGGTGTCCGAGATTCGTCGCTGGCCTCCTTCGCTTGTATCATCACTGCAGAAGTTCTTGTCCAAAGCTAATTGATATGTGATTGAAAAGAGATGAGTGGTGCCTTGGTGTGATGTGGGTTAGAGTGGATGAAAACTAAGTGATTAAGAGGGTCCCGTGCCTCCTACCAGATAGAACCACCAAAGTGATTCTGAGCTAGCGGCCTATCGGGGTAGTCTTCACTGCGCCGCCTTTGTGGTGGTGGTGGTGGTGGAGCTGGTCCTTCTTGCCACAGTCATCGTTGTCATTGGCATTGCCAGCATTGCTCTGGTGATGTAGGGCCCGTGTGGGCATGTCGCTTTGTGGCATGTTGAGCAAGTGTTGCCGTGCTTGTGCCTCGATACTACCTGAATGGCTCAGTTTTGGGGTTCACAGCACTAGGTTGTGAACACTGTAGCTCTTCGAACGGTTCAGAGGACGAATGTTCTGAGAATGGCACGGTAAAGCATACGATGCATGCATATACTGTATTTGGCATCGCAACACAGTCTACAGTGTCTACAGACGGTAGTGAAGTTCGGTAGGCTGTTTGAAGTTCGGTCAACGTCTTGGCCTTTGGGGCCTGGGCGCAGAGATGGCCATCATGCCCTTGCCAGCGCAATGCCTCAGCATGCGGCTGAAGATTGTTGCAGACGAGCGTCTTGGCACGGTGACACAAGTTTGTGTCAGCCTTTTTGGGATATTGTCTCGTAAGCAGAGACGCAGCCAAGGTTCTCGTCCTGGGCTGCCTACTTGCCAAGGTCCACGGATGAATCAAACAGCAACAAGGCCAGGTTTCCATTGGTTTGGTTCAGAATATTTCCTGCTTCCAATTGCCTCGAAGTCTTGCGAGAGAGTGACAGGGAGAGGAAGCATCGTCAAATTGCCACTTCAATTCGCTTCGATCCTTTTCGTCCATTTTCGCTTCTTAACACACCCTGCAGGAAGCCCAGGCCACGCTCTCGGATTTTGTTGGCACACAGGTCACAGGCGTGCCTGGCAATGGATAAGCATCAAGGAAGTATGTGGTTGCATGATGCATGCCGAGCCTCTGGAACCCTGGAATATCCAAAACGTGTTCGTGACTTTTTTTTTGTTACAGCATATGCAACCCTTTGGATCTTCAGAATAGTGTAATGTATGCGGTGTGCTGTTCCAGGGCATGTTTGGCAGCTCTCGCTCCGGCAGCGTGGTAGCCGGGCTGTGCAGGTGTGGAGTGTGAAACAGTTCAGTACATATATAATATATATATATATGCAACATAAAGTTGTTGACTCAAGCTCCTCCATGCACTTTCACCCTGCCTTTGCACACGTTCAGTATGGTTCATTTGTAGCCTTGATGCCAGGAGGCAATCGAGCTCTGTGGTACCGACGACGAGCGCGAGGCTATTGCGAGTGAGCTGGCGGGCCACATCTGGGAGGCACAGTAGTTTGCACCAGCATGCTCGCCAGTGGGCTAATAGGAAGGTGGACCGCTGGGTTAAGGGGACATGTTGCAATCACAAGGTATATAGAACAACCTCTCTTTCTCTTCCACTCGCCAATTAACGTCGAACGTCCGTGGCAGCCGCATGCAGTTAAATTGCGATGTCGAACGGGATGAACATTCCGGATTGGTTTCGGATATTTTGGAATCTACAGCTCAACGACCTGATGACAATAGGTTCACAAACCGCTGAACGCATCCAAGAAGTCCGGGAAAGCTCTTAGGTCGCTTGAAACCCCTTGCTTTCACCAACAGACTGATCTTCTATTCGAACCGGCACGACCGGAATTGATGCGTGCCAGCTCATTGAGATCTACCAGGGCATTCGGAGCAACAATGCCCAAGCCCACAAAGCTGCTGCTGCCAAAGGCAGCGGCTATTGAACACAATAAGGACGGGTCTTGGAGAACGCTCGATCTCACCGTGAGGCTCCTTTGAAGGAGTGCACACCCGCGTGGTGTGCAGTCTTCGTGGAGCTTTTTGCTCACCTGTACCCAGCGACAGGACGGGATGAGCTGCCCAGCGAGTTCCTTGAAGGGGTTGAGCAATTAAGGTCCGGTTTACCATATGGTTTGGCCCGTCGCGAAAACTTGTTTGTTCTTCGCCGGCTGATGCGGCCATGTTGCCCATCCTTGCCAGGTATTCCAAGCTTTCGTCTTTCCTTCCCTTGCCTCCATCCCATTTGTAATCTGTGATGGGTGCTCAGCAAATCAAGTGCTCTACCAAACCTGGCTTGCTGTCTCCTCCACAAGTAGGTTGCCGATCTCGTCTCACGCACGAACTTCCTCGCTGACCTCTGAACGAAGGGTTTGCCAAGACGGACTGCTACAGTGCTTCCCCGTCTTAAACCAGAAATCCAGCCCTTGGATCTATGGCGATGGCGCACGCGTGGGAAATGTCGCTGACGACACCCTTTGAGCCAACCCTTCACATGGTCAAAAGTCAAAACAGCTTTTCTTTTTGGATAGAACAGCACGACAGAAGGGAGGGCAGGACGAGGGTTTGAAGAGACAGTGAAAGCTTGTTTGTTGACAGGCAGTGAGATGCCCTCATGCAAACTTTGTGGTACAGCGCCTGATTGTAGCTCTGAAGCCCAGCGCATGCCAGCTACCTGGATGCAAAAGAGTCCTAGATGGTCGTAAGCTGCTATGCCTTATGTTATAGCTGCTATGCAGGCTCCTTCTAGGCTCCTCTCGCTGGTGGTGTTGGGAGGTAAGCTGCGGGAGAGATTAGCAGCGTTGTTTGGGTTTTGGCAGCTTCAAGTGGCTTTGTCCGTGTTGGTCTGGGATGTGCTTCGCTGTGACAACTCCAGAAGATCCAAAATCATGGGCATAAATAATCATAATAGCATATATAATTAATGTATACTTAGCGCCCACATTGAGGATGCTTAGAGCACTCTATATATATATATATA